TAAGATTCTGAGATATAGCAATATATTGTTTAAACCAACTTATATTTTTGGTTGTACACCACTTTGATGTGCCGGATACCATAGTGTTGTCAAATTTTTTCTTTGAAATTTAACTTTAAAAGTACTAATGTAAGATCATGGAGATATAGGCAATATATGTTGTTAAACTAACTTTATATTTTGGTTGTACACCACTTGTATGGCCGGATACCATTGTGTCAAATTTTTTCTGAAATTAACTTAAAATTACTAATAAGATCATTTTTTTTGCATTTAAATATTAATGCCAATATGGTTTCTTTTATTTTATTTCATTTATGAAGCAAATCAGAATACCCAAAAAACTCCACTCCATAAGCGTTCATTTGCTAAATTAAAAAAGTGACAATGGGCTAGTCTTGTCCCTTTCTCCTCTCGTGACATACAGATTTAAAGAATTCAAACTTTTACCATAATCTCCTAAATTGTTTTCTTATCTTATGTTTTCCATTCATTATATGAAAACTGTATAAACTTTTATCTTTATTCGTGCCAATCTTTCATCACTTCCAATATATTTATATCCTTCAATTTTTGATTTATTATAGGTTTTCATATTCATTAACGTTTAATAATTTCACAGTCTTCCTTTTTAAATAAATGTTTTATTATTTCAGGGATTAACAATTCTATAATATTGCTTCCCTGTAAATCAAAAAAAAAAAGGTAGTGGGGCTCCAGGCACCTTCGTGCCCTCTAGCCCTGAGATGTTTAGTATAAATGAAGTTTTTTATTTGGAGGCTTCCAGGCGCGTTGCGCCTCTAGCCCGAAGATGTTTAGTATAAATGAAGTTTTTATTGGAAATTGTTAGTTCTTCTGGGTCAAAAACATTATATAATGTTTCACTTTTCACAATTATATTATGTTTTCATGCTATTGTACACTTTTCTGTCACGTTTTCAGAAAAAACATATTTTATATTATATATAAAGAATGTTACAAAAAACCCCCACCGTTACCTTACTTGGAAATAAGAGGTAGATTCAAAGAATTCTATTGAGAGACTTAAGAACTACCGAATGGTCTAAACATTTGTAGAGCTTGTTCGGTGAAGTTTACTATATATCCCATCTGTCATACAATATTTCAGACTCAAAGATTATTTATGCAATGGACTTCGACAAACGTATATGAACCGGCGTCTCAAACAATACCAGAACACAAACAATAAATATTACAAGAGTTAAAAGAAAAGATACCTATAGGTAAGATGGAACGTTATACCCATTAGATAAGAAAAATATTGTCGAGAAGAGTTTTGAAAAAAGCAGAATATATAGACTGCGATAAAGTATATCTCGCTAGACTATTATATAGTGTTCTATAAGAGTTCAATCGACATTGAAACCACTTATGTCAAACGTTTTATATCTTAAACTATAACAAATGTTTCAAAGAGGGACATAGAAAATATTATAGGGTATAGAGGTTGTGAGATGTCATTGACAGAGTTGTTATGAAAAATATAAAGACAAGGAAAATGTTTTCTTTATAAGTGAGACCACGCCGTTTCTAGTAACACATGACGAATTTTCAATACCAAGTAGACTGACTTTGACGAGACTCTTAGAAACTTTAGACGTTTATACATAACACATCCATTGTTTTACTCTTTACCATACGCGATAAAAAGTGGTTTGGACAACCGTTATTGAAGATGTATGAGGACAATTACTTGACTAATGAATTTAGATAGACAAGTAAGAATATGAGAGAGGTTCCTATAAACCGGAGAAAAGTGTCATAACAAAGAAATTTTATTGTAAGTGAAATGTTGGTTTGAAATAGGACTACTTGTTTTAGGTTTTTTCCATTGTTCATTTATTATTTGACGTGGCAGAAAAGTACAGAGAATATGAATGAAACCAATGTCTGACAATGTTCAGCATATGTACTCGAAGAGATATTTTTATCTAATATAAAATGGACGCCACAGACTTAAGCGAATGTCACAGAACACCGGAACAACCAAACCCAGAGAAATATTCCAAAAATGAAGTTAGAATACAAACTGCAATGGCCAATTGAACTATGGTCAAGTGCCAACAGGTGGTACAAAATGCAAACTAGCCATGTCAAAATGACGCTGCGGATAGGTTTGCACACCATGGTATGCAAAATATGAGATGGAAAGATTTATACCAACACCTGAAGTGGGATATTAAACAACTTCTATGCAGATGACGCGAACACAGGAGTTGACCCAGAATATGTTTTCTACCAAGGAGGAGAAACAGAATGATGAAGCTCCAGTTTAAAGAATGCTATGGAACTCAAACAGAAACGTAGAAGACTAGGTCGGACATTAGATTTTTACATATAGTAAAAATCTGGGTTTCTTCAGAGTATTGAAACGTTCTATTCGAAATGTTGGAAATAGAGGTATATGATATGGAATAAAAATCTGTCGAGGGGAAAAGGAAGAATTGGAACGGAGTCAAAAATATTGGTAAAAAGATAGGGTCAGTTCGTTTGTAATTATATCCTAAAGACCTACAGAAAAGTGTTATTACAAGCAGCCTGAACCTGCACCAGCCAGTCTAGTTGGCAACCAAATCCAACACTCCTCAACGCTATTAAAATTATTATTTTTACTCGTTCGATAGTAGTTGGTATATGAAACTAAGTTCTAAGTAAAACGCCATGGTACTAATGGAATATTCTTTCTTCTTCCATCTGTAGTAAACCATACTTGAAAGTCTGAAATACTTCCACTGGTCGGTTCTATAACTTTGTAGGTTTTTCGTAATCATTTGACCAAGCATAAAAAGAGTTTGTGCGCGCACAGAAAAAGAAAGCGAGAACATAGGAAGCCTGGTGCGAAACATTTTGACATATGTTCCATTAGGTTTCGAACTTCATAAGTGCCGGGGTACTGGAATGCGTGGCAGCTGATTTATAACATCCTCAAAATCCATACCATGCCTAAGTTGTTCTATATTTTGTAGAATATAAGCGTTTTTCCAAGGTCTTCTATTTTATTGATTTTAACAGTTGCATTTTTCCTGTCAAATAAATCGAGATGGTATCTCCCTCCGTCATGTTATACTGGTTTGCATATTCGAGATAGATATCGTTTATTGTTTCTTGAAAAAGCCTTGAAAGATGTTGTTTCTAAGTTTTACAAGCAAATATACTTGTAATACAGATGAGAGTTTCCTGTTCAAATGTTCTCATACGTTTTTCGTTGTTTATAGTATCGCGAACTCAAAAACCGGGACCGTAAATGGGAAACCAATGTATGGCTTCTGAAATGAACTCTTCATTCTACGAAAGCCAATTACTTTTGTGACGGATGGGTCTCTAGCCATCTTAATCGGTAGTCAAAAACGAACTTAGCCCTTCATCTTGTTACGGTCTCTGTCTCAAACTTTGACCGACATTCGTAAAAAGTTCATCTAAATGGTTAGTGTAGGCAACTCTGAATTTTCCTTTTCTATTGGAAAGCATAATTTATCTAGAATAAAAATGTCACAAGAATTAAGCTGTCCTAGAGAGAAAACAACACAGACCGACAACTCATTATGACAAGCTCTAAAAATAAGAACACAAACAAACTTTTTCAAACTATTCTAAGATATCTGAGTCAATTGAAAGAAGGAAAACTTAAACTGACATTAAACCCAAATGACAAGATGAGTTTCTGTTTCAAGACAATAAGAACCATACTGTTGTATAAATCCAACAAAAGGAACTCTTAAACAGAAAGACCTATAAATGAAACTTCCTTTGAAGAGCAGATGTTGACAACAAAGCTGACAAACAGTATGTACGACGATGCAAATAGCAAAAGAAGAAGAAAGAAGCAGATGCAATGCTATATGCAAACAAAAGAATACTTCATCGCTGAAACTAGCAGACAAAACTATATGTTGACAATAAAATGTCAAGTGAAGTGACAAGAGCTGACAAAGAATATTCTAAAAAGACTCATATACATCCTACATCTGAAATATACAAGAGCTTAAACGTAGACCTTGAAACAGAAAGCGGATAAGGAATATGTGTGACATAGTAGCAGGGTGATACGTTATGAAGAAAGGCAGAATAAGGAATAGTGACTGAAAAAGAAAACGAAATGAAGAAAGGGTTGACTGGTACCATGAATGCGGACATCGAAGATTTTAAAATTAAAGCCGATACAGATGGTGTTCAGGGATGTTTAGACCTTAAAGCAGATAAAACATATGTGCTAGTGGTTAAAACGAACATGATGCTATGAGTAAGACAAAAGCAAATAAAAATATGTAGTGACTAGAGCAAATACAATAAACATATTTGTTAGAGAACGTAGGCTGATAAAACTATTGAGGAACGTAGTAGTTAGAGAAGAAACGAGTAAACATTGTCAATGAATATAGCAAATTTATTGAACAACAAATCTTGAACTATTCACAGGTTTAACTTGGTTTATGCGACTACGAAGAGAAACAATATTTTAGATGAGAGTTTATGTCTCCATAGGAGAAATAAAGTATACGGTAAACACTGCATTCCGAAATATATAATGACAAAATGTGAAGCAACCAAAACAGAGACGTGTCAACACATAGTTAAAGATCCATAAGAAAAACTTCAACTTAACACTTATATGGCTTATATGACGCAAGAACACAGACCAAATAACATTTCTAAGTTTTGAATGGAAAAGAGATAGTCGACGAGGTTTGATTCCCAGTCCAAACATATTCAAGGAAACAGTATGGAAGTAAAACGATTTCTTTAAAATCACGCTGACACGTCGCAAAGCAAACATAGATTAGTTATAGATTATAAAGAGTACGAATCAATAAACAGCGAGATCAGTGTTGGACATAGAAGCATAGAGAATAAATGGATTGGATGTCCAGCTTACATGACAAAAGTAAAGGATAGATTTGAAATCGCACAACCAGCCTGAATATTAGAATTATTAAGACATCCATATAATACCATATGTGATTTTACCCGTAGGCATCATCATGAACAGAGTGCTCAGAAGTTGGTGGTGCAGGAGACAAACATACATCGAGCGTTATGTAGTAGTGAAACTGCTTCAAACAAACGGCGAACAAAGATATCGATGCCACAAAGTGATTCTGTACACATCTAAATGGAAACAGTCAATAGGTTCAACAGGATATAAACACTTTCTCCAGATCAAGATTGTTAGTCACATTTTCAACGAACTCAGAACTGGATATGAATTGAAGTCAATTGAACCCCACTACAACTTACAGAGGAAATCGCACTACCATGAATTTTCCAAGTGAGACTTAGCATTTCACTTCTTTAGCATATTCCGTCAGGAGTTGTCTTATATTTGTTCAGAGAACTGCTTTGAAAGTAATACCACCTTTGAACTTTGACAAGTTTGAAACGAGGTCTGACAATAGTGGTTTATCTTCTGCTTGCAGTCTGTACATTTTGCCATGTTGCCTAAAACTTCAATAATATTCTCTTGTATACTTTCTTCTATTTTTTAACCGAACACGAATGTTTTGAGTACCTGTCGGTATTGTCTGTTGTCTATAGTCATAGTATTTTCATATGGGTCGCGTATAGGTATTTCTATTTTACTTTGTCTCCTTTCTGAGTTTGAAGCCGGCATTGCTTTCTTGTTTGTCTGCTTTTGACTAAATTAGTTAAATATAGTAGTCTTTCTCTAAGTCAGCGTTGTTTTTCATTTCTTCGGGGGAGTGGTTTCCCACCAACCTTTTTGTTTACGGCTATTGTAAAATATTTAAAACTGTCTCATCTTTGCCATGAGAATGTCTTGTTATAGCTTGTCGTCATATGACATTTCATTGCTCTCACCACCTTTGTTGGTGTTTAAAGTCTCTTAACATTTTATACACAACCGTCATGCCACCCAAGAGCAGGAAATGGTTTTGGTCGACAAATGAATATGTGTTAACATTTTTGAACGCAAGATAGTTTTTAATCAACGTCTGATTTGAAGAACTTTTCAAGTCAGATGTCAGTTGTTGTTGATGGTATTTGTCAACGAATATGTCAAAGCGCTAGATACATCTAAAAATAGCTTTTGGACCCATAATGGTATGGCCTTCACAGGTATCTTGTGTTTTGACCGACTAAATATTAGGCCGAGTTAGGTGGTGCCATCGCGTTCTACTGCTCGAATAGTTTCCAAGATTATCCTAAAACAAAGCATTTGGTGTTGAACTAAGATTTTTAGCCACTGAGTGCTTTCTTTTGTCGCTTAAAGAAACAAGCGGTTCCTTGTTTGGATTCGTCATTTTTTAACCGCCATAGAAATGTGTTTTATTTGGCGCATTAGCAGGAGTACGCATCTAGATTTTTTCCCCAGTGGAAGCAATAGCAGAGGTGTATTTGAGTTGGAAGAAAGATTTTGAGTTACATTAGGTATACTAAAGAGAAGTCAAGCACAACCCTATTATACAAACTGTAACAAGAAAGGTTGGGCATGTAGCACGGATGCAGGCAAAATCTTATTTCCAAATCCTGACAAGAGGAAAAAGATTCAAGGATGGATGGACAATGTAGGAAGAACAAGCAGGAAACTATTATAACAAAGCAATGACTACTATACGCAGCAGGAACACTATATGGACCAATGTGAAAAGATCTTTAACAGAGGATATAACCATGCACAACAAGTGGGTAAACAAACAACCGAACCTCAACCGCCTCAAACACGTGGGAATGTAAAGTTTTTTACTGGAGGATGAAATGAACAATACAGCATTGAGACACAATAAGTTCAAGATGGATGTCGCGCGTCCAGCAGAGCACGACACCAAACGTGTTTTGTTCAAGTTCTATCCTATCACCTCAGGAAGTTTTAGACCGACTTAAAAATACCTAAACACACCAGTTGAAAACAAAACGCAAACTTAAAATTTTTGTACTGAGATGAAATGGACCGCGAGAAGTGATGAAACGTAGATTTGACACACACAACAAAAAAGTTCAGAGACGCATTATGTCCAAAACCTTGTCAACAGAACTTACAGATGGAAGATGAAAAATCAATAATAGAAAGTGCCAGGTTCTGGAAATACAAACTCTAACTCTACAAAGGTCACTTTTCATAAAAATGGAACGGCAAGTATTCTCAAAAAAGAAACAGACTCTCACAAATAAAAAATTGAAGTCTAAGGAGCTTCGAGGAGCAACAGATGGAAAAGTCTTACTTCACTGACCACAGTTTCAATTATAGAACATCTCATTGGACTTCTGAGAGTCGAAATATTCTAAACTTTACAACAAACACAAAAGTTGAAAGGAAACAAAAACAAATGCATATGATAATTTATGAAGATGTTGACCGACACAATGTTGGCCAGAGTGAATTAAAGTCGAGAGGAACCGGAAAAAGTTGACGAAAAACAGAAGAAGAAGGAAACGCAAAAAAACTGAAGATAAACCAAAAACCAAAAGTTTAGTATGTAAACTAAACCAAGTCAACCTTCTTATTAGACTGGTATGGTTGGCCGCTCAAAGACTTATGCAGCTAGGCGTGGTTATTAAAGTAAAGAGAAAATATTTTTTTTATTTATATGAAATGACCCTATGTTAGAAGAGTGGAGAAACTGTGTTAAATGCAAGAGATTATGGCATACCATTTAAATAGAAGATGGTTTGTAAGAAATTAAAGTTAGAGGATAGACTTTATGTCTATCTGAAAATTGTCTTGTCTCGATTATGGATGTGGAAAACCGTGGGAATTTATCCGTTAGATGGGTAGAAAAGATCACGTGTTGGTGGACATGCTCAGTTTGAACTAAGTGAAGAAATTAATGAGACATATGGAAATCAAGCTTTGTGAGTCCATTGTGGCAGACTAAGAAACCAGTACGAATGGAGCGATACGATAGCTATGATATGAAGATGCGGTGGAAAAACTATGCTCTAAACATGTGTGCATCTGCAACTCATTTATACGGAACGCCTAACATTTACCTTTTGGTAGACATAATAACCATATAAAAAACGACAATAACTTTGAAACTTAGCGTTGGTCCACTCGTTCTGAAAAAATAAGAACAAAAGGCAATATTCCGGAGATATTGTATCGAATTGTCGACGAAACAGAAGATGAAACAAATTGAAATCTACAGACTATGGATAGCATTAACGTTTGAGTTTTAACTACCTATAGCGAAGAACAAGACTCTTTCTACTTTTATACCGGCCTCGTAAACGTATTAAGGAAAGATTACAAGTATATTTTACTTAAAGCCGCAAGCTATGCTTATGTAAACACTAGAGATACAGATGGAAAATACGTTCAAATACGTCTTAACAAATCAAGAAGCTATATATGGCATACCATTTTAAAACCAATATATAGTTTTACATATATTAAAAATGCTTCAGGTTGAAAAACAAAGAACAAAAGTAGCAGGATACAAAACCGTATTAGACTATATCTTTACAAATGCTGGTAGGACATATTCAGATGAAGAAATTTCATCCCGAGCATTACAGGTTGACTATCCAATTCGTTGGCTTCAAAGTCCTTCAGATGCAAAGGCAATAGGATTTAGAAGAGTTTTTGTTTTCAAAATAGAACTAGACGCATTTATGTTCGCAAGTATATTTTCATGGGCAGTTATCAAAGGTTCTGATGGTCTAATAGACAAATTGCCGAATGAGAATCTTTTACATTCGGGTTCAGTCGACGAAAGTCTTGAGAAAACTCTAGATGACTTCAGGAACTCAAATATACACAAATAGTATGGGAATTTCAAGAAAATACCATCTTTACTAGAATGGAAGCTAACTATCTGTAAACCCTAAGCAATATGATACAAGATGAAACTCCACGCGTGTTCATTTCAAAAGGTAGGAAATTAACGACCTCCAAGAGATATCAGAGTTTTTATTTTGTGGAAGTAGACAAAGACGCGTAGTTTCATCAACAAATTTCTCATCATGTAAAACTTTTGTCTCTCCTGCCGGCTCTTTAATAGGTCGAAAATTTCAGCCATCAAAATATAACTATACAACAGTTGTTAATAATTTAGCGACAGAAAATTCAATTATACATTTATTTTATAGCGCATTGATTGATTCATGTAATATTATAAATAATTCCATATTACAACTAACTCAGTTTGCATATTGTGGAATTATTTACCATAGATCTAGTGATCTAACTATAAAAAGCTGTTCTTTTATTAATAACACCGTTCCTGATGTATATAATGATCCAAATGCAGGTTCGTATTTGATATATAATGATAGATATAATGATCCAAGTGAAGAAATGTTAATTGAAAATTGTTACATTGATAATTCGATTTCAACCACACAGATGTTTAATTATTATCATATAGAAATAAGAGAACCATTTACTAACAATTTAATTCATTTTTCAACTGATATTTGCCAAGCAGAATTTGCAATTATCAATAAGAGTATTTCTGAAGTTAATGACCTTTCTCTCTTTTTACAAACTTTACTAAATATCAGTAACTCTTCATAACATAATATTTCCACATAATAGATAGCCAAATGCTTGATTCAAAGCTAATTATAAAGCATGGTAATTTGTGAGTATTTTCCGATGAATTATTAACTCTGAGTCTTATTGGGTTTCCATTTTTTTACAGTTTCATCTTTGGATTCAGGAAAATAAGGTCTCACATATAGATGAACTTACGCCCATCTGACATTAATTTTGAATGATAACAGGCATGAAGTATCATTCAAAATGATATAAATTAAGAAATATGAATGATGTACTTTATATAGGACCCAAGTGGAGCGTGATCATCCCTTTGCGACACGTATAAGAGGTTCTTAGAGCATTGTCTCTAAAATTTAATATATCGTAGTTCTTCATATTAAATCACAATATATTATCTGAATTGTCATAAATGATGCATACTTACTAAATCCAAAAAATTGAAATTACAATTTATTTTATTTGGAATTATCTGGATTGTGATAAAAATAGCTTTGATTGGTGAATGACATAGTAATAATAACAGTTTATTTATAAATCAAAATCAGTATTAAAATTATTCCACATTCCGAAAGAATCATCTTCGAAATTGATTCTCGTATCTAAACCAAAATGATCGGTTATATCAAAATCTTGCTCTGGTATTGATGATTGGGTTATTGAGAATTCAAGAAAGTTGTTCGGGTCATTTTCCTTTTCTACATCAGGAGGTGGTGTTGGAAAAGACGAAACCGTAGCATTTTGGATGATTTTTTCTACTTTTGGATTAGATAGTACTTTAGGAACGAAATTCTTAGGCAAAACCTGTGTAGAAGGAGTCTTTGCTTTTCTTCTTATTGTCCATTGACGCATTTCCTTAAAATTATCTTTCCAAAATGGGAAGAGTTTGTTTAATATTGAAGAAGCTTCATTAGCGTCTGTAGGCGATGCATATCCAATCATCTGAAGAGAACCGTTAATCGATGATTTGCATTTTTGCAGAAGAATCCTGAGTTGTCGAGTATTGATTGCTAAATCTTCGCCAACCCAGTACATTCCACATACAATGCCTCTTTGAAGGTCATCAGAGTCGTCACGCATGACAAAAGCTTTTATTGTTTCGACAACGTCGACAAATGTTTCAACACTTTTATTGCGCCGATTTTTGCAAGCTGGAGATGTTAGCATAGTGCGTAACTCAAGATATCCTTCTCTATCTCTTAGACTCAATTTTTCCCATTCTACAATAGACATGTCAGATGGCGCTTCCATTTTTGAATAAAATTTTACATAGCCGGCCAAGGAAACAACGGCTTTGAATTGAATTTTGAATTTCGGAAAAAAAAATCCAATTTTCAAATTCTCATCGATTTCCAAAATTTAATTGTAGTGACTATGCTAAACGAATGACATATCAATTTCATGAAGACAATGAAATTGGATTGAACTTCTGAATGATCATTTATTAATAAATATACGAATGCGTCACTATACCCCACTTGATGAGACATCAGAAGGAGGCTATCTTGAAAACATTCAATATATTTCCTCGATTAGAGCTAATCAAGCTGCAATAACAAAAGATGAATGACGTTTGTCTACTTTCCAAAATAAAAACTCTGTATCTCTTGGAGGGTTAATTTCAATCTTTTGAAATGAAACGGTGGAGTTCATCTTGTCATATTCTAGTTTCAGATATATGTTCCATTTAGTAAAGAGTCGTATTTTTCTTGAAATTCCCAATAATATTTGTTCATTTGAGTTTGAAAGTCATTTAGAGTTTTCTCAAGACTTTCGTCTGAACGACTGTAAAGATTCTCATTTCGGCAAATTTGTCTATTAGACCATCAGAACCTTTATACTGCCATGAAAATATACTGCGAACATAAATGCGTTAGTTCTATTTGAAAACAAAAACTCTTCTAAATCCTATTGCCTTTGCATCTGAAGGACTTTTGAAGCCAACGAATTGGATAGTCAAAACCTGTATGCTCGGGATGAAATTTCTTCATCTGAAATAGTCCTACCAGCATTGTAAAAGATATAGTCTAACGGTTTTGTATCTGCTACTTTTGTTCTTTGTTTTTCAACCTGAAGCATTTAATATATGTAAAAATATTATGTTTTAAAAATGGTATGCCATATAGCTTCTTGAATTTGTTAAGAAGTATTTGAACGTATTTTCCATCTGTATCTCTAGTGTTTACATAAGCATAGCCCGCCTTAGTAAAATATACTTGTAATTTCCTATCGTTTACGCCGGTATAAAAGTAGAAAGAGTCTGTTCTTCGCTATTAGTAGTAAAACTCAAACGTATGCTTGCCATAGTCTGTAATTTCAATTGTTTCATCTTCTAGTTCGTCGACAAATTCGAATACAATATCTCCAAATTTGCCTTTGTTCTTATTGTTTTCAGAACGAGTGACCCAACGTAAGTTTTCAAGTCTATTGTCGTTTCTTATATGGTTTATATGGTCTACAAAAGGTAAATTGTTAGGATTCAGTATAAAATGAGTTGCAATGACAACATGTTTAAGATAGTGTTTTCCACCCATCTTCATAATAGCATATCCGTCATTTCGCTCCCATTCGCTTAAAACTCGTTTTGTCTTTTTGTTTCTGACTTCAAATGACTCACAACAGTGAATTTCATATTTCTCATCTAACAAACAAGTTTCCTTCAACTTGAGGTTCACTAACATCGAAAGGCATGTCCATAAGACGTTCTTCTTCTAACCTCTCTAGTCTGTTTGGATAATTGGCACGTGCTGTTTCCAAATCCATTTCGTAGCGAAGACCAGACAATTTGTCATAGACTTTTATGGGTCTTCCCTTCCTATATTTAAACTTCTTCGAAACTCTCCAACCATATCTTTGCAACTCTGCTTTTATTCTAGCAGATTTTCTATCCATTCTATATGGGGCATTTTTATAAAAATAAAAAAATATTTTTCTTTACTTTACATAACCGCCTGCTGCCATAAGTCTTTGACGCCAACCCATACCAGCTAATGAAGGTTGACTTGGTTTAGTTTCCAAACTAAACTTTGGTTTTGGTTTATCTTCAGTTTTTGGTTTTTCTTCTTCTATCGCGTTTTCGTCACTTTTCGGTTCCTCTGACTTTACTTCACTTGCAGAACAGTTGTGTCGTCAACATCTTCATAAATATCATATGCCATTGTTTTTGTTTTCCTTTCAACTTTTTGTGTTTGTTGTAAAGTTTAGAATATTTCGACTCTAAGTCAATGAGATGTTCTATAATGAACTGTTGGTCAGTGAAGTAAACTTTTCCATCTGTTGTCTCGAAAGCTCCTTCAGACTTCAATATTTTATTTGTGAGAGTCTGTTTCTTTTTTGAGATACTTGCCGTTCCATTTTTATGAAAAGTGACTTGTAGTTAGGGTTTGTATTTCCAGACCTGGCACTTTCTATTATTGAATTTTTCTCTTCATCTGTAAGTTCTTTGACAGGTTTTGACAATGGTTCTGAACTTTGTTTGTTTGGTGTCAAATCTACCGTTTCAACTTCTTCGGTCATTTCATCTCAGTAAAAAATTTAGTTTGGTTTGTTTTCAACTGGTTGTTTAGGTTTTTTAAGTCGGTCTAAAACTTCCTGAGGTATAGGAAGAACTTGACAAACACGTGGTGTAACTGCTGGAAGCCGACAAATCCATCTTGAACTTATTTGTCTCAATGCTGTATTGTTCATTTCATCTCAGTAAAAAACTTTACATTCCCCACGTTTGAGGCGGTTGAGGTTGGTTATTGTTTACCCATTGTTGTGCATGGTTATATCCTCTGTTAAAGAATCTTTCACCTTGGTCCATATATGTCCTGCTTGGTTATAGTAGTCATTTGCTTTGTTATAATAGTTTCCTGCTTGTCTTCCTACATTGTCCATCCATCCTTGAACTTTTCCTCTTGTTTCAGGATTTGGAATAAGATTTTTGCATCTCGTGCTACATCCAACCTTTCTGTACAGTTTGTATAATAGGTTGTGCTTTCTCTTTAAGTATACCTAATGTACTCAAAATCTTCCTTCCAACTCCAAATACACCTCTGGCTATTGTTCCCACTGCGGGCAAAAATCTGGATGCAACTCCTGCTTATATGCGCCAAATAAACCCATTTCTTATGGGTTAAAAAATGACGAATCCAAACAAGGACCCCTATGTTTCTAAGGCGACAAAGAAAGCACTCATGGTAAAAATCTTTAGTTCAACACCAAATGCTTGGTTTATGGATATCTTGGAAAACATTCCGAGAGTTAGAACAGATGGACCACCATACTGGCTAATATTTGTCGGTCAAAAAACACAAGATACTGTGAAGCCATACCATTATGGTCCAAAGCTATTTTTAGATAATCTTAGCAGCTTTGACAATATTCGTTGACAAATACCATCCAACAAAACTGACATCTGACTGTGAAAGTTCTTTCAAATCAGATGATGTAAAAAACTATCTGCGTTCAAAAAATGTAAACCAATATTTCATTGTCGACCAAAACCTTCTGCTCTTGGTGTCATTGACGGTTGTATAAATGTTAAGAGACTTAAACCAACCACAAGGTGGTGAAGCAAATGAAATGTCATATGACGACAAAATATAGACACTTCTCCATGGCAAAGATGAGACAAGTTTTAAATAGTTACAATAGCCGTAAACAAAAAGGTTTGGGAAACCACTCCCCCGAAGAAATGAAAACAACCTGACTTAGAGAAAGACTATATATTTAATAATTTAGTCAAAAGAGACAAACAAGAAAGAATGCCGGCTTCAAACTTCAGAAAGGTGACAAAGTAAAAATAGAAATACCTAACGCGACCCATATGAAAATACTATTGACTATGACAACAATGGGAACCCGACAGGTACTCACATCGTGTTCGTAAAAATAGAAGAAAGTATACAAGAGAATATTATGAAGTTTTAGGCAAACATGGCAAAATGTACAGACTGCAAGCAGAAGATAAAACTACTATTGCCAGACCTCGTTTCAAACTTGTCAAAGTTCAAGGTGGTATACTTTCAAAGACAGTTCCTAACAAATATAAGACAACTCCTGACGAATATGCTAAAGAAGTTGAAAATGACGACTAAGCAATTCTATACCATGCGTAAACTGTCATGTAAGGTGGCATGTAGTCTTTACTTTGTCCCGTTGTTTGCGTATATCCCGAAACGCGATGTGTATGGTTTCCTCCTCCCTCAGTGTTACTCCAGTAACAATTTATAGCAAACTTAACGTTGTCTTTAACATCATATCCTTTACCTTTTGTCATTGCTGACCAATCCCAATATCTATGCTTATGCCAACCTGCTTGAGATGTACTTAAATCTATGTAGTGACTGTGTGCAGGTAAATTTTCACCTGAAATCGTTTTACTTCCACCTGTTTCCTTTGAAGAGTTTGCACAATACAAAAACCTGTCGACTATTTGAGTCCAAGTTCCAAAACCCAGAACTGTTTTCTGTCTGTAGAGTTCATTGACGTAAATAGAGCCTATAGGATATAATGTTTGAAGTATTTCTGTCTTTAATGTTTGAAGCTCTGTTTTGTCTGCTTTCTTGTCATATAAATCTTGAGCAGTGAATTTAATATTATATTCATCCTTCATGACATAAACATCTTTACATCTAATGTTTCTCATCGTCGTTATGTCGTCATCCAATGTTAAACCTTGTGGAAAGTTAGGAGGTTTACAATATAATGCATCCCCACCAGTTTCTTCAACCGTTCCTTCAATACTTTCTATAGCAACAGTTGTAAAACTTGTATGTGTATGAGTCTTATTTGCTTTCTTCTCTAACTCATCGTTAACATAAGTTTTATCTGCTTTAAGGTCTTAAACATCCTGAAACCCATCCTGTATCGGCTTAGTTTTTAAAATCTTCGATGTCCATTCATGGTACCAGTCAAACCCTTTCTTTCATTTCGTTATCTTTTTCATCCACATATTCCTTATCTGCTTTCTTCTCTAACTTACTAGCCACATATTCCTTATCCGCTTTCTTTTCAAGGCTAACGTTTAAGTCTGTTATTTCAGATATAGAATGTATATGAGTCTTTTTAGAATATTCGTTTTCAGCTCTTGTCACTTCACTTGACATTTTATTGTCAACATATGTTTTGTCTGCTAGTTCAGGATGAGTATGTTCTTTTGTTGCATAAGCATTGTTAGCTCTTTCTTCTTCTTTGCTATTGCATCGTCTACATATTCTTTGTCAGCTTTGTTGTCAACATCTGCTTTCAAAGAAGTTCATTTATAG